TCTCCACCACGGACTCAAAAGACTCCATTCATTGAATTTTTGGCCAGTTGGGGGCAGCAGAACAAACTAAAAGCAAAATATTGAACTTATCATCACCTTATAAACTTATGCTAAACTTGTTTTATATGCTATGTGCTAGGCTCGTCTATGTTGAAAAGACAACCTGGTTGAAAGATAGAAGCGACGTTGATAGTCACATCTTAACTTAGCTAATGTTAGCAAAACTTTAGCTAACTAACGACTGATGCAAATTAGCTAAATAGTTAGCTTGCATTTTGCTTACATTATCTTTCAGATGTAACTAGCTAGCTTATGATTGCTTAGCTAGCTAGGTAGTTAGCTACCAATTGATGTAGATTAGCGAGCTAGTTAGCTAGCGTTTTGCTAACATTAGCTAACTTAAGATGTAAGTTCAAAACGACCCTTCCTAAGTCCAGCCCCTTTTTGCTCCGTGCTCCAATAACAGTTGAGTCTGAACCTCAACTTTCTCCTTTCCTGTACTTAGATACTAACTAGTTAACTAGCTAGTTATCAATTCATCCATATGTTGCTTTTATCTTTTAACCATCTCCAAAATGGGTTTGTCTTTTCAACATAGAGAGCCTAGCATATAGCATATCTTTAGTAAAGTAAAGGAGAAAGTTGACCGAGGTTCTAACCGAGGCTTACTCAACTCAAGCACAGAACAAAAAGAGGCGGGGCTTAAGAAGAGTTAATTGTCAGTTGAGAGAATGCTGATGAGAGCAAACCAAAATATAAGCAAAACACAGGCTGAAATACTTGCTGACATTTCTCTGTGGGTTCATCACAACAAACATCACATAACACGCTGTGTATCAGTGTACAGTATAAAAATATTGATGTGTTCAGCTTTAAGGGCAGCATGAAGGTGTGTGAATAAAAATATTAAAGTTATCAGCGCTGACCTTTCTGACATAGGAAGCAGCGTCTTCCTCCGTGTACACCTCAGCACTGATGGCTCCTCTCCGGCTGCGACCCCTCACCACAGGGTTCATAGGTGGAGATACTTCATCCTCACGGGAGTCTGACCGCAAGCTGGACTTCTGCTGCGAAGCCATCTGCTGGGCTTCTTCCTGCTGGGCGACACAAAACTTGAGGCACTCAAAGAATAATAGGCTGCTAGTAAAGAAAGTAGGTCTTTAAACATGAATGAGTACATTTTGTTAGATTACCTTTATATTACCAGTAAGTCAAATAAGTCTGTGTCATCTAAAGGGGTTTCTTATAGCACCAATATCCGAGAGAGCCTTTGCGGTCACATGTGTTTGCACCCACCTTTTCCAGTCTTTCAAAGTGGTCCCTGAGGAAGGCCATGGGCCGGTCGGGCCGGGTCGTGCACAGCTGGATGATGCAGTCCTTGAGCAGCAGCTGGATGTTGTGCTTCTGGACATATTGCTCGCACTCCCTGAGGCTCCGCTCCTCCTCGCTGCTCGTACTGCTTGACGCCATCTTTGACCTGGAAGGAGATAAGATGGAAACATACCATCAAATCAGGAAGTGAGAATTAACAATCAAGTATCTTCAAGCCACAAACCCAAAACGTCTTTATATCTTTCTCTTATATATTATCCATTAGGAGCAGAAGGAGGAGCCAGATAAACATGATTTTTTTCCAACATTATCTGTTTCATGTACTACTGTTGAATTCGGGACACAGCTAATTTCAGCAAATATTTCAAAAAGTTATTCTTAGAAATGTTACGTAGTGCAGCTTTAACGTGGTCATGCCAAAGTGGGCTAGAATCAAAGAAACCTTCATTACATTTGGGTAAAGGGCATTTTTCTACAGTAAATCACATTTACTGACTGACACTGTAACTTACTTAAGTTGCAACACTAAAGTTAATTTTACACAATAATGTATTAGTAACGATAATCCAAAAATATATTGTAACCGGAACAGTCACTCTGCATAATGATACTAACTTATATAACGTTATATGATAATGATATTTAAGTAACGTTACATTGTGCTGATACTTTTGTACTTTTAAAGTAACGTTACCTCCAAATGGTAACGTTACTGTAGTAACGTTACAGTAGATGGTTGAGCTAACGTTAGCTTAGTAAAAGGTATTTCCCCTGACATGCAGAGAAATAACAGAATTAACTGTTAGCTTAGTAGCTAAGCTAGCTACCAACGAGTTAAAATAAGTTACCTCCAAATAGTAACGTTACTGTATTACAGTACCTGGATTAACGTTTGTAACGTAATGTTAACTTTTATCGTTACCTAACAGTTCATTAGTTAACGTTAGCTAACGTTAACGTTGACGTTACTCAGCTTACATCTAACGTGTTTTTGTCACTTAACGTTAGTTAATCATTAAAAACTGTTAATGTTGGAGTAAAGTTAACATGCTAACGCTACGAGCTTGTTGGCTGTACAGGACAAACAGTCAGTGCGATCCTAATATAAAAGTAACTGTTAGCTAACGTTATACACTTGAGGATTTCTCATGATTAGCCATCTTGGATATCAACTAACGTTACTTGAACTATCGTAGCGAGCTAGCTTAGCTATTACCCTCCCGCAGTGCCTTCTGAAAACAACACGATAACCCACTCACAGACAGAAACAAGTGGCAAGCGTTGAACAGAAGCATCCACAATGTGTGACAGCTATTCACAATCTATAAACTAACATTACACCAAACTCCTCACCTCAATCTCAAATGACGTGTGTGCTGCTTGTTTTTCTTTTTCTTCTTTTTTTTTTCTTTTTTTTTTTTTTAAATCTTTATTAACAGTACAACTGAGTACAACACATACACCACTACAAATAACTACAGGGAGTACTGGAAACATTCACAGAGAGTTCATACATACATAATACTAAATCAAGAGATGGCAAAAAACAAACTTAAATTTAAGTAATCTAGTAATATTGTCCATAGTTTTTCTCAGAAGATGAGATGTCTATAAAGCTTTCCTGTTTTTGACAAGAGAGTTATAAAGTAAAGTTGTTTGCCCAAAAAGTCACAGCAATTTTATCAAGTCATCAATTTTATTGTTATTACACTCGCATATAAAAATAAAACCATACTCTCTGTAATAAGTACCTTATGAGTCTCTCATAGCTTGTTCTTTTATCTTGAAAGCAGAGCACTACTTCCTGTACTGAGTAATAGTTTGATTATGCCATCTCTGACTTATAGTAATATTAGATCTGGTTTTATAATGGAGGACAGAAAACATGAATTTTCATTTAATAACTTGATTATGTTTGCCAAATACTTTGTATACAAATGTACATTTCTAAAAACCACCCCTCACTTTACCACATTGTTGAAAGAGCTGTCTCTTTAGTTGGATTCATTGAAATGGATCTAAAGCCCAGTGTCTATATTAATAATTGTCAGTTTTATCATTGATTGCACCCCTATGGAAGCCCATTTCTGCCAATGTAAAATTATTATGTACTTTAAGATACTAAGTCATTATTCTGAGATGCTAAGTCAATATTTTGAGGAAGTTTCTCATTATAATGACTGACAGAACCCTTTTCTTCCCATCACATGGGCTTTCGGAATGATCTATCTTATAAACCATCCAGTATATCCAAGAACACCTGGTAACCTCCTCTGTAAATCACATGTGAAGGCCTTAGGCCTTCCTCAACACAATGGTCCTTTGATCTGACAGTGTGACTTATTAACAGATTTTTAGCAGACTTCCCCCTACCATAAAAAATCAGTAACCCCTTAAACCGAACTTTACTACATTTATAATACAATTATTACTGCAACTCTTTGTTATCAGGGTTGCCCCTAATAAGTCCATTAAAACGGCTCCTTAATTCAAAACGGCTGCAGCAGAGTACTGACAGGAACTAGGAAAAAGATCACATCTTCTTCCTGTTTCTAGCTTCTCTGCATTGGCTCCCTGTTAAATTTAGAATAGAATTTAGAACTCCTCCTCCTCAACTCTATAAAGCTTCTTCATGGTCAGGCCCCTTCATACTTGAAGAGTTCATAGTACCCTATTACGCGTCTAGAACACTACGTTTCTCTGAATGCTGGCTACTTGTGGTTACCTATAGTCTCTAAAAGGTAGACAGGAAGCCAGAGCCTTCAGTTACCAAGCTACTCTCCTGTTGGAACCGTTCCATTGTGGTTCGGAGGCAGCACCTCTCCACATTTTAAGAGGCTAGGTTAAGACGTTCCTCTATTGATAAGCTTATAGTTAAGGCTGGATCAGGTGAGTCCTGAACCACCCTTAGTTGTGCTGCTACTAGGCATAGACTATCGGGGATTTCCCATTGGGTGCACTGCGTCCTCTCTCCTCTCTTCTCTTTCTGCTCTCTTCATGTCCATTAATGCATGTTACTACCTTCATTCTTCCCGGGTTTCTTGTGCTTTATCGTCTTTGCAGTTCTTTCCTATATCGATCATGTTTGGGGCCTCCTGCCATGCGTCCTGCTGGATTGCAATTTACCACATACTGTTGTTGCTATGCACCTGTCTGTCTGTCTGTCCTCTCTCTCTCTGTCTTTCTCTTCTCTTCACCCCAACTTGGGTCAGACAGACGATACAACTAGGAGCCGACAGGATCTGTCCTAGGTTCTGCCTGTTAAAGCAGTTTTTCCTTGCCCTTGTGCCAAGTGCATTGCTCATGGTAGGTACTGTTGGTCTCTGTAAATGTTATAAGGAGTTCGGTCCTAGACCTGATCTATTGAAAAGTGTCCTTGAGAATAAACTTCTGTTATGAATTTTTGGCGCTTACAAAAATTGAATTGAATTGAATTGAAATTGAAAATTACCCCACATAAAACATTCATTCCCATTGATTGCAATCTCAACTTTAATGTACTACCGCCACCTCTGTACCGGTATGTAGAACAGGAATCTAATTAAAATTTACATTTAGTCTATAAATGTAAAATTACAAAGATTAAAAAAAATACAACATAGGCGTTTTAAAACCAAAACAGTTAGGTGGTGGGCAATGTTAGGCCTCAGTATGTATACACTGTAATCTTTAGGTTTTGGATGTTGGTTAACATAAAAAGCACTATTTTGAATTATCACCTTTTGGCTCTGCACATATTATAGTTGGACATCTTGTCCATATTTTGTGACATTTTATAAAAAAAATCTTATCAATAACTTGAAAAATAAATGCAGATTAATTTCATAATTGTTTGTTTGCATCTCTAATCCTCATTTTATGAAACTTTTTTTATTAATAACTCAAGTCATATTGCTTTTACTACTTTACTTTTACTACAGTATTACATTGAAACAGATAACCTGTGAAAAATCAGCTTCCTCTGGCCTCCTTTTTTAGTGCTCCCCATGGTATTTGCTACAAAACTCTTAGGCCTGAAAACAAAACAACCAATCAGGAGCCGGAAAAGGGTGGCTGTGGGCTCAGAGGCAGGAGCGAGGTCGTCCCCGAATCGAAAGTTGTTGGGTTCGATCCCCGGCTCCTCCTCCACGTCTTCGAAGTATCCGTGAGCAAGATTCTGACCCCAAAATTGCCTCTCGATGCATTCATCGGTGTCGTTGAATGTGTGTGAAGGGTGATGTGGCACGTAGTGTAAAATGCGCTTTGAGGTGGTCGGAAGACTTAGAAAGAGCGCCTATACAAGTACAGGTCCATTTTACCATTTACATAACCAAATTATAAAGACAGCTTTGGGTTGGAGGCTGGAAGATAGCTGCTTTTTGAGTCTCATTCCCAGGGTCTGTATTTTAATGAGACTCAACAGTCAACTATCTTTCTTTACTAGGATTCTTGCAAATATCTTTAGGAGCACTAGAAGGAATCATTTTTTCACTATCTGTCTCATGTTCTACTGTCAAAATAAAGTGAAAGTGTGCAAATGTATTTTTATAAAAAATTGCCTACTGCAGCTTTAAACTTTATAGTCAAAATGTAATACTTAAATCACTGAAGTACAATAAGATACTTACTTACTTAATAAGAGGTTGTTTTGTATATTATACATATATATAGTGGTTGCTGTCCCTATGGTGAGGTCCCAACTGATTGTTGTTTACCACAACAAACCTGCTCCAGACAAGATTCTTGCACAACAGCTATTAGCAGACACGCCCACCTTTCTTTTACTCCTTTCAGTAAAAGCCACTTCCTTCATCCAGTCAGACTGCACAGCTCCATTCGTGTCGACTGCCCAGAGTCCACGGATACAGCCCTGCACCTTTGGCCACCACCGCAAATTCACCACACAGATACAACAAAGGTAAGTAATTACCTCTGCTCTCATGGTTTTATCTATGCAGCTGGGCCAGATTTTGATCGCTGGTAAAACTGATTTATGCTATCCACCTGGTCCACACAGCTATTAAGAAAAGTATCATTCCTTTCCAGACCTTCTAATCTAATGGATGTTTTCTTCTCAGCAATTATTTTCTCTGCTTTTGCCTGTTTGAAAAAATACAGCACTAAAAGTAATGCTTAGTAGTGTCTCCTGGGGCTCAGAACCAGTTAGACTGTTAGTAGGACTGAACTTCTTCTCTCCCTTATGATGATAATAACAAATTGTCATCTCCATATTCAAAGATCCTCCAGTTGGAATAAGGTTAGTGTTAGAGGGCAGAGAAATATACAAACGTAACAGTTAAAGCATGTTTGCACAGTGTGCACCACACCTGATAAAGGTGCACTCTTATCTCACAATCATTGCACACGGAACTACAAGTGAGTTAAAGGGAGAGTTTTTGCAGACAGTAAATCCGTACTGGAAGTCTGTCTCCCCTTTCGTCAGACAAAAATTCCAAGAATCCATGTAAGTCTAACACCTTTAACTTTGTCTTTCAAAATCACGTTTCTATATAAAATGTGTCCCTGATCTGATCCTGGGACCTGCAGCAACATATCCGCAGACCAGCAGCCACATTCCAGCAGCCTCTCCTGCCTCTGTTCAGACATGTCACTCCACAGTTTTGGCCTGGAGCCGCTCTCCTGCCACACCTGGAACAAAGACAGGACCCGTAGGTGAAACCACAAACATACATATTTCCTTATACAGTAATACAACATCACATTATTCTTTCTCCACAACCTGAGGCTTCAGTACAGGGTGGGACCACACTTGCAATGCAGATACATTTTCTCCCTCCTCTAATTGCATTAATGTTGCCTGGAGAAACGCAGAGAATCTGATTATGAATACAGGAAATGGAGAGCATTGCTTCATGCTTCTGACTGCAGTTTAGCTGCAGGATGTCTACTGATGTTTTTTCTCTTGACATTACAGTTATCATTGAACACTGCGGTGCACGGTTGTTGACTTGTTTTACACACTTTACATCAGGCTTTACCACAGAACTAGCAGGAATTACCCCAGAATCATTGCAGCTGTATAAGCACATTTGTATTGTATTGCTATATGAAGTGTAACAGACTAATAGCCATGACATTTTCAGAGCACATTCATATACCACAGATAAAGAACCTCTGTGTTGTCACATAGAAAGTGGTTACAGTGCCTAACGTTTGTGCACATACTTCTGTACAGAGATTGCAGTGAGTCCGAACAACAATGTGGTGAACATCTACGAGAAGAAAGGCAAAGACTGGGTCAAGATCCATGAGCTGACTGAGCACAGTGGACGAATCACAGGTACACTATATCAGCCAACAGTGCCTGAAGGAGAGGTGGAATGTGACGTGTCTGACAACATCGTTCTGCAATCGCCAGGGGGTACATAATATGAAAAAGAAATTGAAGTTTAATTTTTTTTGAAATATCAATATATTGAGTCTATTGAGTCAGCTGTAACACCTGAAGAGCAGGTGTTGAGTGCATGAAAAATTAAAAAAAATTGTAAGTGAGCAGAGAAGTCTAAACAGTTTTCTAAAACCAATGGATAAATGGTCAAAATAGCTCAAAGTAACAGTTGAATGGTTAAAATAGTCAAGCTAAAAATGGATAGAAGATTGAAACACCCAGCTTGTCCCAAAGTAGATCAAATGCAAAGTTTAAAAAAACAAGACACTTTAGTTAAACTGTTTCAAAAATATTCTAATAATGGCCACTTTCATATAGTCGATATTGTTAAATAGTATCCAGTTTAAAATCAATGAACACATCTGAAACATGATTGAAGGTGTTGATGAAGGGGTACTTGAGTTGTTGGTACAGGTCAGAATGATTAACCTACATAAAAATACAATGACAAAAAGTGCAGTAATTAAAGTAGTCAGTGTTTACTTGAGGTTACCTTTAATGAAATGTTCACTGCAAAGATGTGTGTATTGAAGCATCAATTGAATTTACACAATTTAGTACACACATTTCTGTTTTGGTGATGTCAGAATTAATGGTAATGGTTTTAGACATCTCAAGTCAAACATACATACAGCATATATTTCCTAGTATGAACACGGCATCGTTCATCCATCCTTTGACACCTGCTTCCTAATAATGTCCACAGGCATTGATTGGGCCCCAGAGTCCAACCGCATTGTGACATGTGCCTCTGACCGCAACGCCTACGTGTGGACTCTGAAGGATGGTGTGTGGAAGCCCACCCTGGTTCTTGTGCGCATCAACCGTGCAGCCACCTGTGTGAAGTGGTCACCACTGGAGAACAAGTTCGCCCTGGGCAGTGGAGCTCGCATCATCTCTGTCTGCTACTTTGAGAAGGAGAATGACTGGTAAGCTATACATGATAAACTATTCCAGTTTTTTGCATAAAATGTAAACTGGTTTTAAAGGCCAAGATTGTTTACCACAAAGTGTGAAAGCCTAAGGATGGTGATTTCTGTCAAACAGTCTGGACTAGAAAGATAAACAAGGTCAGGGTCCAATTTATTTATAGGGTATGATCCAAAGTGCTTTACAATAAACAATGCGCAAAAAGATGACAAGACATAGTTACTTACAAACACATGGATAAATACATAGTGCACACATATAAACACATACAGACATTCATCAATGCAGAATCCAAACCATGTGAGTTATTGCAGGGGTAGGAAAGGGAGGAAAAGTGGGTATAAAGACTCTGCTCTTTTTATATTTTCAGGGAGACTATTCAGAGTCTTGGTGCAACTAATGAAAAGGCCCTGTCTCCAAAATGTTTTCGATGAGATCAAAGAATGCACAGCCCTTGATCTGTAGATCTAAGGGACCTAGCTGTACTGTATGGGGACAGGAGTTCTGTAATGTAGGGGCGAGACCATGCAGGGCATTATACACAAACAGAAGAATCTTCTATGGAATTCGATACCAGACAGGGAGCCAATGCAAAGATGCTAATATAGGTGCAATAGCAAATAAATGGAAAATAGGACCAAGGACTGAGCCTTAAGGTACCCCACATGAGCGATGTGGGGGGGTAGAGGATGAGTTGTTAACAGTGACAGATAAAGTCCCATCTGTGATAAA